CAGAAAAACAATGGCATGCAGAGTAACTCCAATAAATGCACTGTGAGGTGCTTGGTACTGTCCCATATGTGGGTTCCAAGGTCCCACTTTGGGACAGAAACCAAAAGAACAGACCCACTGTCCCTGTAACAAACATGTTGTAGGAGACAACCTATTAAGAGTTTCCTTCAAAGACAAAGTGCATTTGCATAAGAGGTGAGGAACCAGCAGTCTGCATGCAAATAAGCCAGATCTGTAAAACAGATGTGCATGAAAAACTCATGTTCTGGATCAAGACCAAAGTCCAGAAATGGATGAACAACCAGAACCTCCCACTGGAGTTTACAGCTGCTGAATGCTGAAGAAGAAGCTTGGTTCTCAAATAATTATTAGGGATTTACTAAACTGGACCAAAAGGCAAAGATGTCACAGCCCAGCAGTAAACCACAACACAATGTACTAACTGCCCTTTCAAGGGCAAATTGAGAACAAGATACAAATGTTGATGAGACAGGGTTGACAAAGATTTGTACTGGTTATTAAAAAAAAAATCTGCCTCAAGTGGAGATTTTTTTTAAAGTGCATACTCACTAGCTCTTCAAATATGTGCATATTCACAAATGTGTTTATTCAGCCGCTCTTTACAAATTTACATATTCAGAAACTCTTTACAAATCTGCTAATTCAGCTCTTCATAAATGTGCATATTCACCAGCTCTTCAAAAATGTGCTTATTCAGAAACTCTTCATAAATGTGACTATTCAGGCTGTTCACAAACTCTTTACAAATGTGCTTATTCACAAGCACTTCACAAACATGCTTATTCACAAGCTCTTCAGAAATGTGACTATTCAGGTTCTTCCCAAATGTGTATAGTCACAAGCTCTTTACAACTGTACATATTGACAAGCTCTTCACTGCCGTGTGTAGACTCTAAAACTGTGCAATGAAATGTCACTTCAACAAAGCTTTAAAAGACATGAGACCAGTATCTGAAGCAAGGAATGGTTGGCCAATAATCTTCTTCTTCTTCATGTTCACCAACTGTAAACTCTGGCAGAAAATTCTGTTTGTTCATCCACTTCTGGACTGCAGTCCTGTCCCAGAACCTGAGTGTTGCATGTGCATCTGTTTTACAGACTTGACCCATTTTGTATGCAGACTGCTGGTTCCTTGCCTCTCAGGCAGATGCACTCTGACTTTGAAGGAAGCACCCATTTAGTCGACTCTTACGACATGCTGTTGGGTAGGCAGTGGGTCTATTCTTGTTTTCCATATGACAGGGCCCAGGAACCCACACGGGGAGCCAATTATGATAAATTTAGAAAATTGTAGAGACCAGGGAACCCATCTGGTCATCCCCGGAACAACCAATCTGAGGGTCTAAATTATTTTTTTAAAACACTAAAATGAAAAAAAAAGTATGACATTTTTTTGTTTAGGACTGTTGTCAGTGGGACTAATCCTTTCACTCTGCCAAAATCATAACAAGTGACCTTTTCACAGAGCACATACAAAATGAACACATCCTTGTAATCCCCTAAAACTCTACCCTAAGCTACTAGAGGAAAAGAGTAGAAATCTGGAGCTTTTGTCAGTTTGTATGAAATTTCAGGTGGTTAAAACCAGTGTGACCAGATAGAAATGCTTGCTAGCTACTACGGTTCAGCAGCCTCAAAGTCACACCAAAATAATAGAAATGTTCATATTGATACAGCTTTACCACAAGAGCTCTGTCCCCATCTTCAGCCAGTCAATGAAGAAAAACAAACAGCCCCTGGACAAGAGGATACATAGAAGAAAGCGTTGTTTTTTCTGAAAACATAAACTAACCCCCCCCCCCCCCCCCCCCCTCAAAAAACTACAGAATTTCTAGAGACCAGGAACAAAAAGAGTAATAAAAAACCTATAAAACAAAAGAGACATAAAATATTCTGGCTCTGTTAACCCTTTGAAATGAATTAAAACTTTACATTTGTTTGAATCAGAAAAAATGGTTTCAGAATACAATTTACTTACCATACGAGCTAAGTCAGGGACAATGGAATTTGTACCCTGAGGTTTCACTGTACTTTTAAATGCACATGCTTTTCTTGTTACAACACACCAGGCTACCAGGCTGGAACAGCCTAGAGAACTAGGAAATGTCGGGATAAATACAAGTGACAGATGTGATGTTGACGACATCACAAAGTGAGCCAGGTCAGATCTGTGGTTCATCGTGTGAGAAGCTCATGGACTTTTATGGCTCAGGTTGGAGTTAGAATTGTGAAGCCCCGTTCTGCCGCTTCTGCCTTGACTACAAGTGGTCTGATTATGAAGGTCACGGCAGTTACCAAAGCAATAACATGGCTGGAGACATGACTTTCCCAGTGACTCAATGAAGGTCACGGCAGTTACCAAAGCAATAACATGGGTGCAGACATGACTTTCCCAGTGACTCAATGAAGGTCACGGCAGTTACCAAAGCAATAACATGGCTGGAGACATGACTTTCCCAGTGACTCAATGAAGGTCACGGCAGTTACCAAAGCAATAACATGGCTGGAGACATGACTTTCCCAGTGACTCAATGAAGGTCACGGCAGTTACCAAAGCAATAACATGGGTGCAGACATGACTTTCCCAGTGACTCAATGAAGGTCACGGCAGTTAATAAAGCAATAACATGGCTGCAGACATGACTTTCCCAGTGACTCAATGAAGGTCACGGCAGTTACCAAAGCAATAACATGGCTGCAGACATGACTTTCCCAGTGACTCAATGAAGGTCACGGCAGTTACCAAAGCAATAACATGGCTGCAGACATGACTTTCCCAGTGACTCAATGAAGGTCACGGCAGTTACCAAAGCAATAACATGGCTGGAGACATGACTTTCCCAGTGACTCAATGAAGGTCACGGCAGTTACCAAAGCAATAACATGGCTGGAGACATGACTTTCCCAGTGACTCAATGAAGGTCACGGCAGTTACCAAAGCAATAACATGGCTGGAGACATGACTTTCCCAGTGACTCAATGAAGGTCACGGCAGTTACCAAAGCAATAACATGGCTGGAGACATGACTTTCCCAGTGACTCAATGAAGGTCACGGCAGTTACCAAAGCAATAACATGGCTGGAGACATGACTTTCCCAGTGACTCAATGAAGGTCACGGCAGTTACCAAAGCAATAACATGGCTGGAGACATGACTTTCCCAGTGACTCAATGAAGGTCACGGCAGTTACCAAAGCAATAACATGGCTGGAGACATGACTTTCCCAGTGACTCAATGAAGGTCACGGCAGTTACCAAAGCAATAACATGGCTGGAGACATAACTTTCCCAGTGACTCAATGAAGGTCACGGCAGTTACCAAAGCAATAACATGGCTGGAGACATAACTTTCCCAGTGACTCAATGAAGGTCACGGCAGTTACCAAAGCAATAACATGGCTGCAGACATGACTCTCCCAGTGACTCAATGAAGGTCACGGCAGTTACCAAAGCAATAACATGGCTGGAGACATAACTTTCCCAGTGACTCAATGAAGGTCACGGCAGTTACCAAAGCAATAACATGGCTGGAGACATGACTTTCCCAGTGACTCAATGAAGGTCACGGCAGTTACCAAAGCAATAACATGGCTGCAGACATGACTCTCCCAGTGACTCAATGAAGGTCACGGCAGTTACCAAAGCAATAACATGGCTGCAGACATGACTCTCCCAGTGACTCAATGAAGGTCACGGCAGTTACCAAAGCAATAACATGGCTGGAGACATGACTCTCCCAGTGACTCAATGAAGGTCACGGCAGTTACCAAAGCAATAACATGGCTGGAGACATGACTCTCCCAGTGACTCAATGAAGGTCACGGCAGTTACCAAAGCAATAACATGGCTGCAGACATGACTCTCCCAGTGACTCAATGAAGGTCACGGCAGTTACCAAAGCAATAACATGGCTGGAGACATGACTCTCCCAGTGACTCAATGAAGGTCACGGCAGTTACCAAAGCAATAACATGGCTGCAGACATGACTCTCCCAGTGACTCAATGAGCGTGCTCAAGAAGACAGACAAGGGCTGGGTCCGAAGGTGTCTGGAGTCCCTTAGGTGGCTGGGGCTGACAAACAGTTTCATATTCTGCCAGGGTATGAAGGTGTGCAAGGAAATAAGCAAGCTGATAGGCTTGAAGTTAAAGCTACACATCAGACTTCTGCAGGCATATGTTGCCCAGGTTAGCCATCCCGGCTTCAAATATATATATATATATATATATATATATATATGAAAGGGGATGAAAAAATGTCATGTTAGGGCAGCAGGGTTCAATTTCAGTGGCAGACTGTTTATTCGAGGAGACAAAAACAAAAACCTCTAGATAGTTTTCCAGTAGTAGTACGCGAGTTGTTCCACAGCTGACAATTTGGGGCTTCAACCATATAATATTCCAAAAGAGCTGTGGGTACACTGTAGCCAATCTCTAGTCTATAGATGGCAATCATTTCCTCTGTTATAAATGAAAATTCTGAAAAGGCAAACCCTGCCTCAAAATACATGAAAATCTCACATCAATTAAGAGTCACTAATAACAATTAAAAAACACAAACAGCTTCAACACATACCAAACTGGAAAAAAAAAAAAACCTGACTTGAATTACAAGACACTCTCACATCATTCAAGAGTTCCCATGAAAAAACACAAATACACAAATTCAAACAGCTTATTAATAAACAAATGCCAACCTGGCAAACATAATGATCAGTTTAAAGAAAGTGAGGTGGGCGTGTCTGCGCAAAATACACACACAAAAATGAGATCATTTATGAAATAAAGTTTACTTGTACCACGGAACACTGTCAAAATAGCTATAAATCTGCGAACGCTTGTTCTTGGAATGCAAACAAATGTCTGTGAAAATGCTGGCAGCATTTTTTGACTTCTTCTGTGGACGTCAATTAATACCCTGTTCCGATGTTTATCCTGATGAAGAAAGCTTGCCCGCAGTTATCCCTGTGAAGAGGTGATCCTAGTCTGGGCGGAATATAGGGACTTTTGGTATGAACTCTAAAACTAAAACCTGCAGACAAAAGATAAACAGATGCATTAACAATTAGGGTCCAGATTCCATCCTTGTAAACACATACAGCAAATTCACCCCCCCCCCTTCCCAACTTAACTGGCTGTAAACTCTGGTGGAAAGTTCTGGTTTTCATCAGCTTCTGGACTTTTGTCTTGCTGCAGGTCTTCAGTGTTCATCATCCATTGTGCTCTTGTGCCATCTTGTGTTACATAGGGTTCCCAGTCTATTTCCCATTCTGTTCTATCTTGCGCAGTCATTTCCAAATCTCCCTGTGTGGGATCCGGGGTCTCATTGTGGGAAAAACCGGAATAGACCTATTGTCTGTCTAAATGCGTGTCGTAAGAGTCGACTAACTTGGAGCTTCCTTCAAAGTTAGAGTACATCTGTCTGACAGGCAAGGAACCAACAGTCTGCATAAAAATGAGTCAGACATGTGAAATGGATATACAAGCAACACTCAGTTTCTGAAACAGGACTAAAGTCCAGAAGTGGATGAACGACCAGAACTTTCCGCTGGAGTTTAGAGCGGGTAAACGCGAAGAAGAACAACTTCCATATCATGGATGAAATCCAGTCCACCTTCTTTCATTTCTCTCATCAATATTCACTCTAGGGATTCTCTTAAACGTCCTAGTTTCCTCAATCCCTCCGATTACCATTTCAGTGCCTGTCTGTATCTTCTGCCTTCTCCCTGCCATTTGAAATGGAAACAAATTCAAAATGGAACCCCACATGTCGAGTAAATGCATTTCCCTGCCAACCCATTCCTCCTCCACAAAACTGTTAAGAAAATGTACAAAGTTCCTTGTTTCAGTACCCAAATCAACCTTGCCAGCCCCCATTTGAAAATAAGAGAAACAAATTTCAGATAAGTGCCAGCAAAATGTGGAAGTTCCCACATGTCGAGTAAATGCATTTGGCCACATGTGCCAACTCTAACATTCCTCCTCCACAGCCGCAGTCCACTGTTAACTAAAAGGATGTAACAGTATGTAAGTTCCTTGTTACATTCAGTACTCTCTCACACAAATAAAGCAAACAAATAAAGAAAATAAGATGAAACATCCATCTTTTTGGCCTGAAAAGGTGTGAACCCAGTACTTATGCCTGTGACACATTCCTGTAAATGCTGCTTATCTAGCATGGCTGCAGGAACTTTTCAAGAAAAGCAGTTAATGCCACTTGTTGTGTTTGCACCTGCACAGTACTTAGGAGGTCAAGATATAAATATGTTTACCCCCCACCTTCTTCCCCCAAAATATTATGTGTGTGCGGAAAAAAATTGATTTGTATAGCCATTTTAACATCCTTATTTGCCCTTTATACTTAATGTTAGAATTCCAACAAGGTCAGATGGTTACTGTATAAGTTATCTGATATAACTATGCCTCTAGGAATATATTCCAATTATTGTTTCAATCTGTTTATGTTTATCGACTCATCATCATGTCGCAGGTCCTCTAAAGAACGTGGCTCTCATCACGGTCTGCCTGGAAGGAACTCGGTCTCTCACCAGCTCTCATGCCTCATGTACTTTAACATTCAGGGAATGGCTTCTATTGTATACCCATCTTCATGATGGTCAGCTCCTGACCCTCCTTCCTGCTATTATTTGTTCCAATCCCCCATTGCACTTGACATGACCAAAATATTTCAGCTTACGAAACAAGATGCTGTTTATTAGCCAATCTTCCTCGATGTTCAGATCTTTTAAATTGTCAGTATTTCTCCTCTTCTTTGTCAATGGTATTCTGAGAATCTTTCTATAGCATTTCAGCTTAAAAGTCCTTATTCTCTTTCTTAAGAACTGGGAGATAGTCCACGACTCAAATCTGTATGTTGCTACAGGGAAGACACATGGTCTTAAAATTTAATTTTGATTTCCTTACTGGTACTTAACCATAGACTGTTAATGCAGTTTAATCTTTGCATTACTATGGCCATCCGCCTTTCATCGACTATTCCCTTAATATATTTAAAGAAGAAAATGTAGATAAATAAATATAAATATTTAAAAATTATGAGTGACCTGTATCAAATGGTTTGTTTTAGAATATTTTTGGGGAATTACTATGGATTTTATTTAATCGTTTCTGGAGTGAAACCGTCAAATTGTTTAGACAAATGAAATTTTTTGGTATATATTACAAGGGAATGAAACTCTAAAACACAGTGACAAACTGGCACACCTGATGGAGAAAGAGCCAGGGAAAGACATAGAGATAGATATCTGGTTGGCTTTATCGCACAGCATGGGAGGGGTAAGAACACTGAGCTGATCTGTGATTCTGATGATTATGCATAGCACAATGACCCTATTCTTATTAGCATGATACAGGATGAAGACGATTTCAACTAGTATGTATATAATATGAAAACACTTACGTATTCCATCATACTGCTTGAATCACAGCGTTGCTTCTTTAACTTCCATAACAGACCAAGCTTTAATAAGGGAAAGTAGAAATAAACAGAACAATTAATAAACCAGGTTACTCAAACAACAAACCCATCAAATGTAACTGAAACAAGCTGTCCTCTTCACGTGGGTGCTAGGATTCCATTTTGAGGGGGGAAAAGAATAGACCCACGACCTCAATAAATGGTGACTAATTAGGGTTTGATGAAACTGAATGTACTATGCTGAAAGACGCAAATACTGTACCCACTCTGTAATCCAAAAACACAACACGCCAACTGTCCTGTGAAGGACGAATGCAGAAGAAGGAGAAACAGGCAGAAAGAGTTAAAGTACTACTGATGTAACGGTAGCCCTGTAGCAAAATACTGTCATTGGTATAAAGTTTCAGACATTTGCATCTTTGAGCCATTTGTACTTTTAACATAATTCAAACTCAGACCTTTAATTTTACTGATAGAACATCTGTAATAACATTATACCATTTCCAATGGCTTCGCAAGTACCCTTCTTATTTTTTGGGTGTTGACTGACTGAAAAGTCCCTTTGAAAGACGTGGCTGTTTGTCCAACTTCTCGACTCTGTTCTTGAGTTTTTCATGCAAATCTGTTTAACAGATCTGACTTATTTGTGTGCAGAATGTTGGTCCCTCACCTCTCAGACCTGTTTCTTGGATGACAATGGTGAGGTGTAAGCACCTATGCATTCCACATGTACCCACAGCCTCAACTGTTAGACCCGCACAATAACTATAACAGTACCTGTCTATTTTTACAAACTTTGAAACAAAATTGTTGCAGGCAAAAACTTACCTTCTGATATAAGTGGCTGTTTTCCCAGTCAAGTACCTTTTCTATTGAATGTCGTGTCTGCAGACAAACACAAGAAAATAATGATAATAAAATAAACTTCATTACTGCCTGCATTTAGCATTCTTTCCGGGGATGAAGGATGAGTCTTAAACCTTGGGATTTATGGATGTAGGGTTAGTGCAGTCGTCACGCACTGTGCAGGATTAATCAATGTAGGGTTAGTACAGTCGTCGCGGACTGTGCAGGATTTATGGATGTAGGGTTAGTACAGTCGTCACAGACTGTGCAGGATTTATGGATGTAGGGTTAGTGCAGTCATCACGGACTGTGCAGGATTTATGGATGTAGGGTTAGTGCAGTTGTCACGGACTGTGCAGGATTTATGGATGTAGGGTTAGTACAGTCGTCACGGACTGTGCAGGATTTATGGATATAGGGTTAGTGCAGTCGTCATAAACTGTGCAGGTTTGGATTCTATTTCTGCCTCTGACAGGAAATATCAATCACACAATCAAGGATTTGAACCTAGGTCTCCTAAATGAGAGCCATGTGTTCTGCATAGAGGAATATCATCAGTGGAATTAATTCCTAAAACCAAGGACCAAGAACTGGAGATAGTGGCGGTGACTGGAAAAGGGGGGGGGGGGGGGGCAGTGTTCTTCTGAAACTGAGGACTGCTAGTGCAGCTGCCACGGACTGTGCAGATTCAGATTTGATTTTTTTGCCTGCTGACAGAAAATCCCATAACCCAGATTTGAACCTGGACTTCCTGCATATGAGCTCAGTGTTCTTAACCGTTCAGCCAGCCACTCATCTTGTGGCCAGCTTTGACTAATTTAGATCCAACACAAATTTAGTTATTTCATTCAGAGCTACAGCTCTTGTTTCAACTGAGTCATCATCAAGTGTTTTACCGTCTGGCGTGGGGAATGACAGGACAGCATAAGTCATTTTATGTACCGATACCCTTCTCTCTGGAGAGCTTACTAGCCATATCAGGAAGAGGAAATGCAACCAGAAAACTGAATCTTATGTCAGGGTAGACCAGACTCTTGGCTTTGGTTGGCAGCTGATCTTCATGGGAAGTTTCCACAGGTGGACAGATACAATGTGCTGCTCTTCTGATCCGGCAGCTTCTGCAGCATGCCTTGTTTCTAATGCACTGGTGTTACCTTTTCTGTAGAATAAACAAGGCAAGCTGAGAGAGCAATTATGATGCATAGGCAACACATGGTCTCTACAATACAGCCCAGGCTAAGTGCTAGAGAGGTGATAAACCAACAGTCTGCATACAAATAAGCAAGATCTGTAAAATGGTTGTGCAGGCTAAACTCAAGTTCAAATTCAAGATCAAAGTCCAGGAGTGAATGAACAGCCAGAACTTTCTGCTGCATGTCACAGCCGGTGGAGGACAAGAAGAAAAAAGGTTCAAAGGTCAGGAAATTGTTAAACACATTCACTAACCTGCTAGCCACAGAGCAATTCATCTTGACAAGCGATAAACATGAAAATAAAAAAGTAGTTTAAAAAAGAAAAATGGAAACTTACTCGTTTGCTGAGGCACACAACAGGCCACAATGAACAGCCCAACGTACAACAGCAACATATACAGCCACAAAATAACCACTTGACATTAACCGGCAAGGACTTGCGCAGCACATTATTTATCCTGGTTATCGTGGCCTTGAACTCTTCTGGAGCAACCTGGCAAGTTAGCAAAAAACGCATAAAAACTGATATATTTGTGTGGCAGTGCTGGAGCGTACTTAAACAAACACACAAAAACTGATATATTTGTGTGGCAGTGCTGGAGCGTACTTAAACAAACGCACAAAAACTGATATATTTGTGTGGCAGTGCTGGAGCGTACTTAAACAAACACATAAAAACTGATATATTTGTGTGGCAGTGCTGGAGTGTACTTAAACAAACTCACAAAAACTGATATATTTGTGTGGCAGTGCTGGAGCGTACTTAAACAAACACACAAAAACTGATATATCTGTGTGGCAGTGCTGGAGCGTACTTAAACAAATGCATAAAAACTGATATATTTGTGTGGCAGTGCTGGAGCGTACTTAAACAAACGCACAAAAACTGATATATTTGTGTGGCAGTGCTGGAGCGTACTTAAACAAAACGCACAAAAACTAATATATATATATGTGTGGCAGTGCTGGAGCGTACTTAAACAAACACACAAAAACTGATATATCTGTGTGGCAGTGCTGGAGCGTACTTAAACAAACGCACAAAAACTGATATATTTGTGTGGCAGTGCTGGAGCGTACTTAAACAAACGCACAAAAACTGATATATTTGTGTGGCAGTGCTGGAGCGTACTTAAACAAACGCACAAAAACTGATATATTTGTGTGGCAGTGCTGGAGTGTACCTCAACAAAAGCAATGTTTACTGCCTGCAGTTATCACATTATCATAAACTTTACACGTTAGGCTGTGAATTTTTGCAGTCAATAGACAATTCTTCCATCATATTATATGGGCAGCTTTCTTATTATTATTTAGATTATCTGATAGTTGAACTAGGCTCCCACTGTTATGTTGACCCCATCACCCCCTGATCACTGACTGGTCTATACAAAGATGGCCCTAGCTTCATATTAACTGATTTGGCAATGAAATAAAAAAGGCCCTATATTTTTCTTTTCATTCTCTGCAGTGGGCTCAAGTCTGTTGGCATAACATATTCACAATTCCTGTGCTAGTTACAGGACCCCATTTTGGGTGAGTTGGAAAGGGGGGGGGGGGCAAAACAGATTCACTGCCCCCTAACATGCTTTTCGCAATAGGTGACTGATTAGGGTAGTTTCCTTCAAGGTCACAGTGCATCTGAGAGGTCAGGAGCCAATAGTCTGAATACAAATAAGCTGGATCTGTAAAATGAATGTGCATGCAAAACTCCAGTTCTGGAACAAGACCAAAGCCTAGAGGTGGGTGAACAACCCACATCTGTTGCCAGAGTTTCAGCTGGTAAATAATATGTTAGTCAAAAAAAAAAAAAGTAAAGGACCCAGGCATACTGTGTACACAGGGCTAGACCTATATTTTTATAGACACTTGGTGGGTGATGTGGTCAGCATCACGCCGGCCGCCTTTACTTCCCAGGACTGTACCTGGTACCCACTCAAGGGTGGGTCGACATTGGAGCAGGTCATTTTTGAAAAAAGTCCGGCCCAAACCAATGACTTTCTGATCCGCAGGCGAGCGTTTAGCCGCAAGACCACGGTGTCTCTCAAATAGTATGAAGAAGAGAAGAAATCTCTACAATATATTAGTTAGCTAATCCACCGATCCCTTTCACTGCACATCAGAAATGTAAATAAGTGCTCGGATCCCATTTTCAGAATCAATCTCAGTATGTGGTGACATATAAGAGCAATTCTGTTTGACTACTTGCATTTTCTTCATATCTGGCAACACCTCTTTTCGACACAAGGTTCTTAAATTCTGTCATTGCTGCTAATTCACCTTGTTTCTATAGCTATTCATGTGCCATGTTATGAGAAGAAGAAAAATAGAACATGTTGTGACCACTGGAAAGATCTGTGGAAGGAGGTGTAGAGAAAGACAACGAGAGAAGATTCTTGACAGTCTTGATGCATGGCATGGAAATGTGTCGGCATACAAACTGATACATGCTGCAGGAGATCGCAGATTGTGGAGAGGCGTGATCTCCCACGCCAGTCTGCAAGGCACCTGATGATGATGATTCATGTGCCTGTCATGGCCCTGCCACAATTCAAATCCACTCATTCATCTTCTCTTACCCAAGTGTCATGACCTAAAAAATAAAACTTATTCTATCAGATGAGATATCCCCAGCTACTCTGTCCAATGTCTTTGAACCCAACCTACCTTGATCTTCTTAAGTCAGGTCATGAAATCAGTCAGAAAGCATGCACAGGGATAAATCCCTGTCTTTAGCCAGGGTACTGCTTTTGTGACCAAAATCAACCTCCACAGTCAGACTACTGGTGGCCAAGGCAACAGTTACAACATGTGAGAGAAAACAAGCCTAATCTAGACTGAATCACATCTAGTGTTGCGGTGAGATGCTCGCATGTGGATTGCAAGGTCATGTGTTCAGCTCTTGATGGACCAGACTTTTTTTTTAAAAATGATCTTATCTCCTAGGTTGACCCAGCCTTAAATTGGTGCCAGGCAAGTCCTGGGAAGCAAAGGTGCCTGGGTGATGCTGACCACATCATCAACCAAGTGCAGATTGTTCTAAAATATATAGGTCTAGCCCTATGTGCTCCATACTCCTGAAGACATTGAAACCGATTCGTTATTGTTACTACAGGGTAGACCAGGCCCTTAGCCTCACCAAGATTATCTAGCATTAGGCAACAAGACAAGATCACAAACACTGAGGTATTAGAAAGAGCAGGTATCACAACAGTTTTCTCAATGCTGGTGACTGGATCACACTTGGAAAATGGAGGATGGCAGAGTAAAAAGTGTCACAGCTAAATCAGAAAACCATGGCACCTGCAACACCAACGTCGGAAAGACAAAACATTCAACAACATTTACATGGACAGAGCGGACATCATCAATGTTGTAGAAACTAAGTTATGAATAATGACAAATCTCCGGCACTAACATGACTGTGTCAAGTGGGAGTAACGCATGACGAAGCATGTCTGTGCTGCTTCTAGGACCCAGACAGGAGACATTATGACCAGCGCCTTATGGATAACATCAGTAAAGGTACCTTAGAGTGGCTGCTGCATTGCATGGGAATGCCCAATGTGTAATAATGTTAATTGTGATAACATAACATAACATAACAATCAACAAGTACAGACCTTCCCTGACAGACCCTGAGGAAACTCTGTTTCGAATCTGTTACTTAAGCCAAATCTGTAAACAACAGCAGAGAAAACCCATTACAGTTTCTGTACTGTTACTGGTATCTACTTAAGGCAATTTTGTTCTGTCCTGTCTCCACATAACATAACATAACATAACCCTCGACCCATTAGGGTTGTGAAGATTTATTGATGGAAGCACTGGCACATTAAACCCCACCTTTCTCTGTTTTCCGCTTGATGAATAAGTGTATGATAACTTAGTCCTGTCTATATCTTGATGTTTTCATTCCAGATCCTTTTTTGCCTTTCTCTTCTTCGACTACCCCCCCCCCCCCCTAATGTTCCTTGAAGCACAATCTTTGCAATCGAATCATGTCTTACCAGGTGCCCAAACCAAGCTCCTGATGTCCTGCAAATGTGTATATTTTGTCTCTGACATATTTATCAGTTTTGTGTTCTAAATAACTTATTTGTAAAATGCGTCTATAGCATCTACATTTGAAAACCTCAATCCTCATTTTCTTTCCAGTGAGAGTCCAACTCTCACATCCTTTAAAACAAAATAGACAATAGCAGTGATTTGTAAATATTGACTTTAACTGCGATGCTAATTTTGCAAGGTTAGCTACTGCACCCCTTGCTGTTTCTGGGAATATGAAGCGGTGAGGCCCCAATCTATTCTATGGTGTGACTGTTCTACCACTGTAAAAAAACACATGGAAATGTTTTTAACAAAAAATAAACCCATCCACAGTAGAAATCCAACTCTAAAAACAAGGTTATGAAACTGTTAAATGCTTCAAGTCTCTACACTGAATTGGGACAAATAGTGGAACTCAGTATCTTGTGAATGCTATATGTTACCTACTCACAGTTAATTCCTCCATTCCATTCCAACCTGTGCTCTCGAGTATGGACCAGTCTGTGGGCTCCAGACTTCCTAATCATAATTGATCAAATGGTTTCACTGACCATGTTAGTAACGAAAGGGAAGAACCTCTTTCAACACCTTCAGGCAAACTGGGTATATAGAGCTAGGTCTATATTTTATAGGCTCATCGGTACTAGGTGATGAGGTCACCATCACACCGGCTGCCTTTACTTCCCAGGACTGTACCGGGTACCCATTAAGGCTGGGTCGACTTGGGAGGCAAGTCCCTTTTGAAAAAAGTTTGGCTCCGTAAAAAACCCGAACCCATGACCTTTCGACCTGCAGGCGGCTTTCCATGTTAGTGGTTGTGTTTATTTTTTAAATTTCTCACAGAATGTACAGAATAAAGGACAGTCACACTTCTTTTCTAGGTATGTCGCAATGTGAACACGCTTCACAATTCTGTGGTGCTGGGTTTGAGCGATTTCGCACAGACTGCTTTGCATCGGTTTCAACAGTGGCATTAAGAGCCGACTGTTCTGGGTAATGACAAACTAGTAAAAATACAATTGTCTGGTGAAATCACAATCTAAATTGCTGGGGTCGGTTCTGCAATGTCCTGTAAAATTTCTTCTAGAAATTTCCAGTCACATCGAAGGTATAGGGTTCAAATCTGCACAGCGCATGATTATCATCTCATGATGTAAAAGTTGTTTTTCAGCTATCCTTTGAATAAAGGTCCCAAATTATCGAGGCCGAAAATATACCCTAACAGGGCCTCAGTCACATGTAAATTGCGGAGCTCTTTCGGCGACTATTCCGCCACCGCTGAGAGTATCTCCCGCGCGGCTAAGCGTGGCGAGGAGTGGGGCTAAACTAGATGACTGGGACTCACGAGCAAACAAAATGGAGAAAGCTGTAGGAGATGCTGTAGCTGCTGCTTGTGAGTCCCAGCCATCTAGTTTAGCCCCACTCCATGCTGCGCATAGCGGCGCAGGGGAAACTCTCGGCAGTGACTTTAACTCAGCGAAAGCTTTTCTGCGGTATGCTGTGTAGTCGCCGGAAAGAGGTCTGCAATTTACATGTGACTGAGGCCCTGTTAGTATATATTTTAGGTGTCAATAATTTAGGGCCATTATTTGGAGGATAGCCTGTTTTTCTAAAGGCTGATAAAATGGTCGGCTGATCCAAAAAAAAAAAAAAAATAAAAACCCAAAGAGCAATGATTTAGTTTCTTTGATTTAAAGGATGTAGACCAATGAACATTTATCAAAGAATACTTGCAGCACACAGCAACCCAGAGTGTCAAAGACAACAGTGACAGACTGGGCATTCATGTTTCAGAAAGGACCTGAGTTCACATCTTTCATGACCAGGTCAAATTAAGCACATATTGTTGCAACCGATGAACCGTTTTTGAAGCATACATTGGCTAGTGAAATAATTTGATATATCAATTAGGAAAGTTTAAAAAGTAATTCATAAGACACTGCAATAGCACAAGGTGTGTTGATAGTGAGAACTTTAAAAAAAAAAAATTTAAACAGCATTCATTCTCACCATCCAACTAAGCAATGGAATGCTTGTCTAAATATCATCTGTGACTTTTTCTGATCAACCTATGGTACATAACTGATTCAAAATTAATAATGAATGCTTTGTTTTGTTAACTACCACATTTGTTGTTTCTTTCGTGTCAATGTTCCTATAACTATAATTAATTAAATAATAAAAAAATTAAAAAAACCAAAACAACTCAGGAATCTCAACAAAATAGCATATTTTTAAAATTCAAATAAACTTACGCCACTAACCATAAACAGCCTAAGGCAATATAAAACAGCAACGCTTTAAAAAAAAAAATAAACATTGCCCCTGTTAAAGTATTATTATTGTTAATTAGTAAGTCATCACTTGATCAGCTGTGATATTTGACTCCGCAATTTGAGTGTCCCAACTCGCAAAAACTCATCAGCAAATCCCCTTCAACCAACAAATACACATTTAAAAACGACCATTTATAACCCGGCTTACATAGTTACATTCCCGGCTCCTCGAATGATGATAGGATCAGGGACATATATCATGTAGTTATCAATAATATCCTCGTCAGTTTCTCGCTCCTCGTAAATTGTGTCGAAGTCGGCCATTGTGTTTACAGATGCAGACGTCTTGCCAGGTTGCCATCCAGCTTGGCCAAAATAAGTACACATTTTGGGGCCAAAAGCTTCAGATTACGAAGTCTCATAGTAAACCGCAACACAACTTGCCAAGTACAGAAAAAGACGAATAATACGAACTAGCTTGCATGTACATAAAAAAATGATGGCGTAAACAGAAGCAGGAACGCAAACACAGAACACTCTAGGGGTGGGGAATGTGGGTTGATTTCTTGCCTAAGACATTTGGGTTATGAGATTTGATAAGGGTTATCTTCACTGCACTCCGGACATGCCCATAGGTGCTCAGATCCTCCCTTCAACATATAAATCGCGTCCTGCGGTTAATAATCACAGTCCTATGCTGGTTGACAAGACTTCTAATGTATCCTGTGTGCTTTTTTCTCGTGATTGTTTGTACCGATCTTTTCTCCCAATTCTTGCATTCTTATAAAAGATGTGGAAGCGCTGCACCCAAAATCCTTCGACCATCATACCTCTCTAATGATCCATGGGTTGGCTACCTTTAATAAGGCAGAGCCGGTAAATTTGTCGGCTCTTTCATTGCCAACATCATCCACATAACCTAATATAAAAGAAAGGTTTGAGGTTTGAACAATGGATGAACATTACGGCAAACAGGTAGTAACCCATAAGTGCTCCGTTCTACTTCTAACTCAAGTCTGTCTGAAGAGGCTCAGCACAGTGCACATGCTCTGCAGCACCGGTGAGGCTCCTAAAATTCTTTGGCTAGAATTTTAACTCCAGATTTTGCCCTGGCAGCACCGTTAAGACTGAGCATCAGTCTAGGGCTCAACTAGTGTTACATCTCCCCCACCCCCACCAGATTCTTCACTGAGGTGGAAGAGAAGAGGAAGAAGAAGAAGAAGAAGAAGAAGAAGAAGAGGAAGAAAAAAAGAAGCAGAAGAAGAAGAAGAAGAAGAAGAAGAAGAAGAAGAAGAAGAAGAAGAAGAAGAAGAAGAAGAAGAGAAGAAGAAGAAGAAGAAGAAGAAGAAGAAGAAGAAGAAGAAGAAGAAGAAGAAGAAGAAGAAGAAGAAGAAGAAGAAGAAGAAGAAGAAGAAGCGCCATTAGGCTACTCTTTTCGATTTCAAATTGCCAATGAATTTTTTCGTGCGCAACAATACACAGGGGCGTCCGATCTTACTACCCAGAGACCAGGGGAATCACTAGAAGTCCAATTCCATATGAAAAAATCCCAACCCGTACCGGGGTACGGTAATCGAGGCAGACACCATGCTTTGAGACCATGCACCCCTCCCCCTCCCCAACCAATGTAGGGGCACCTCGCACAGTAGAGTTTTTGCAATGGCTCCATCAACTGTTCGTACAAAGCGCGCCTCGACCACCGGATCATGTGTATGAAATCACCCAGCACACACACGTTAGAAAAGCCTTGCAATGCTAGCCACATGAAAGCTCGTCGGTTTTGGGGTTAGTGACCAGCCGTATTTGATTTATCTTGCCTGGTAAATCTGGCATTTTGTGCTGGGACTAAAACTACTTTCATTCTCTGAAAAGCTTACTTTTCCAAGTTCCGGTATTTTACCCATCACACCCACAGATTCTTAATTGTCTAGAAAAAAAAAAAAAAAAACTTTTTTGGGTAAATTTTTCTTCTTCAACATTGTCCTCATTTGTCATCTCCGCAGTAATCTGGTAATCCTAGTTTCAGCTTCACACCAAACGGGTCACCCCATAGTTGCTCCTTTCCTGTGCCAACGAAAAACACACCTAGCTCACAGTGTCACGTCATGCACTCAACTCAGAAGCTGGCCGACGAAACTATATCCTTCCAGACTACAAATGGAGCAAAAATGCAACGGCCACCGCCTGGCAGAAACAAAATTTGCCACTGTAAAAAAAAAGTGGCCGTGCCTAGCGTCCATTTTGACCTGAAGCATTATGTGAGGGTTAATAAATGGTCACCCCAGCAGTAACCTCACTATTAGCTGGGGAAGGGACTTAGGACATTGCATCCACCAGCAGGTGTCGCCCCTACAACGACCTGACTGCCTTCGTTAACGACTGTTCACATAACAGCCATGCAGTTCTTTGGCACGAAGGAGACACCTTGAACTTGGGTTTCGGACTGCCGACTCCCTAGTAAGATGTTATTTTATGTTTGGTTATCACAATCGACGTCACTGCACATTGGGCATACCCATGCGTGCGCAGTCCTCCGAAGCAGCAACCACCCCAAAGTACTTTTACTAATTGTCCCCATGAGAAGCTGGTTATATTGTCTCCTTTCTCGGCCTCGAAGACGGCAAAGACGTGCTTCACCATGCTTAACTCCCATGTCACGCAGTCGTGTTAGTGTCAGGGATTCGTCATTAGCCACTAGCCCAGTCCGTACAGCGTTGAACTGTATGACTTAATTAGTTAAAAAATGAAATACAACACAAATATTTAAGACCGGTTATTTATTAACATTTGATAAATGGGCGGCGATAATTTCGACACTGCCTCCAAAATTAATACAGTCGACGAAATAGAAGAAAAATGTACAAAATTATCAAACACACATATATTTAACATTCCTTAGGCAGAACAAAAAATCAAATTTTTGAAACAAGCCCAAAGCTGAAGCTAGTTTATCACATACAGCATAATCACCGGGTGGGTTCAGAAGTCCCACTGGGGGTGGGGGTGGTGGTGGGAGGAGGGAGGCAAACCCACGGCTCGCTAATTAGCATGTAATAACAGGTGACTGATTAGTGGTCTGCTGAAGTCGGAAATGTCAGGCTGAAAAGGGTACTCATCGCATTCAAGCTTTAAACCACTGTACAGCGTTCCTCTTGCTTAGTTAAGACCGAACGCAGCATGAACAGCAGAAGAAAAGGAGGAGGAGGTGGAGGTGGAAGAAGAAAAAGAAGAAAAAGAAGAAAAAGAAAAAGAAGAAGAAGAAGAAGAAGAAGAAGAAGAAGAAGAAGAAGAAGAAGAAGAAGAAGAAGAAGAAGAAGAAGAAGAAGAAGAAGAAGAAGAAGAAGAAGAAGAAGAAGAAGAAGAAGAAAATGAAGAAGAAGAAGAAGAAGAAGAAGAAGAAGAAGAGGAAGAAGAAGAAGTAGAAGAAAAAGAAGAAGAAGAAGAAGACAACTGAGATTAAAAAGGGCAACGAGAGACGATTCTCATTCTTGCGTTTGGAGACGCCAAGCTGCGGAGAAGCCTGCTCACCCAAGACATTTGGCTGTAAATTATTATATAGCAAAGTCAAGGCGATTTTAGAAGCCAGTCATACAGTTTATTAAAGAGCAACAGATGAGATGGTTTGGTCATCTGACGAGAACTTCCTAGTACTAACTACAACAGAGTTTCACGCGGAACAAGAACCCTTGCACCATTCCGAAGAGCAAATGGATCTTTAAAGTCTGGTGAGAGTGACCCAGGGAGGAGTGACCACGGGCTCTGGTCGATACTCAACGTTCAGAGAATAGCCAGACGGAGGTATAATCAGACGAATACTGGTACTCTGCGTTGGCTGCTGAAGATGTGGGCGGGCGCTTATGGTAATGCCCCGAGTGCTGTCGGTTCTTGAATCAGTTAAACTTAACTCAACTTTAGGACGCTGATAACAGCCGATGAAATTGTAATAAATAAATGTGAAACAGCTCCAGCAAAGGCAGCATTTTACAGAATGAAAACTATTATATGCAATCTGGCTTTGTTACTTGAGACGAGAATGACAGTTCTCAACCTATCCTGATATATTAAAGTGGATCACGGACAATTGGACGATAAGTGACAAATTATTTGGAAGCAACAGAGAGGTGATGTTATAAAGGAATGAGGAGAATGCCCTGGACAGATTAAACGAGTAGCGAAGATGTTCGGAAATAAACTGACTCACGAAGACAACTGACTGCACACATCAGAAAGGGACCCTCTAATTTCTTTAGTCACATCATTAGAAGGAGGAAACTGGACTGCATCAGGACGGTGGGATAGTTGGAGGGGACAATGACAGAAGGAGACAGAGAGAGAAGATGCTTGACAGTTTGTCAACAAAGACTGTTCTCTGGTTCACCTCTCCCCACCGCCACACAGAAAATATATCGCGACCCCCAATAAGGTCGATGCTGTTGGGATGTGGACCCATGATCCATAGAGTTTTATCAAAGAATTTTTTTCTCATGGCATTTAGATTATGGCAGGAGAGTCGCACCGTCGAAGAAATCAGGGCCTCGTCTTAAAAACAGCAAAAATTATATATGTTCACTGCACCCTACCTCACTTGTGGAGAAGGCACAAACATTTTGGGAGGGGGTTGGAATACCAGTTTTTTTTCTTCTTCTTCTGCCTTTCTATCCCCCAATGGAGCATAGGCCCTCAACCAACTCACGCCAAGTCGTTCTGTCCTTCGCCATTGCATGGAGCTCTCCCCATGTCCTCCCCATCTTTTTAACTTCATTCCCCACCTCTCTTCTACGTGTTTTTTGTGTGTGCCTTCCTTTATTCCAATGCCCCTGTGGGTTCCAATGCAAAGACATTCTGGTTATGCTGTTCTCCTGTTTTTTCAGTGTATTTCCAATCCAGCGCCAGTGTTTTTTCTACACCTCTTGTTCCACTGGAGCCTCTTTAGTTCTCTCCCAAAATGCTACATTAGTTATTCTATCATACCATTTTATTCCCTCTATTCTGCGCAGGCACCAGTTAATGAATGTCTGTAATTTATTAGTAATTGCCTTCGTTGTTCTTCATGTTTCCGCTCCATACAAAAGCACTGATTCAAGATAAGATAAGAATTTAAAAAATTTAGTTTAGAATTTCTTTTAATTTCTTTTGACCTCCACAAATTCTCTGGTGCTATGAAAGCTCCTTTTGCCTTTTGTATTCTTTCTTATTATCTCTATCAGTTCCTCCATCTTTATCTACATTGCTGCCCAAATAGGTGTACGACTCCAGGTCTTGGAGTGGGGAGCCATTAAGAGAAACCACATTATTATTTGCCTGGTTTATTCTCATTATCTTTGTCTATCTTTTATGGATTTTCAGACCAAGCTGCTGTGATCTCGCATCAAGTATATTTAATTTATCTTGCATCTGAGTCCGTAAATGGGACAGAAGAGAAATATCATCAGAAGTCCAGATCATCAAGCTATCTTGTAGGGGTCCACACTTTGTTGGGAAATAAATAAGCAGATAGGTAGGCTAGTTCTGCACCATTTGGTTGTAAACTGACGCATGACAAGCTACATGTTGTAAGCGTTGTTTGGGAGCGAGTAAACACTGCGGAGGAACAAATAGATCATCACGGTCGGTAGAGAATACTGCAGCTATAAAGGATGAGGGGATTTGGCCGACGCTCAATAATCTGAGAAGGCATATATCTGTTTACCCGTACAATGGGAATTACAACTCTGAGCTGGCTGCTGAAGATAGAGACGGAGAGCTTGTGGGAATGTCCCGACTGCTATGGTGTAGGTTCTTAACTGAAAACCGACAACATATTCTATTTCGATTCGTCGTCAGTCGAAACTGCATCTATTTTCGGATCCTCATCGACCAGCTCACTCTTCTCTACTTTGGAACGGTTACATTCAACATTAGGAAACAACACTGGGAAATAATTCGCAGCTTCAATCGGAAGAATATAATCATTAACCGGTTCTATCTTGGAACCAGCTTCAAAATTAAGACCAACAGTTCGGCCCTGACTGTCCACATCCCTCAGAAGCATATACCGATCTCGATCCATGTTGAAGAATGAAGATTCAAACCTCTCTCGATCGTACTGGCTCATGGAGTGGAAGTATTTCACTTTGTCCTCTTCTAAAGAGGGGCCCCAATTGTAAGCCGGCTGTGCCAGTTTTTTCACTCGCTGTAGATTCAGAAATAAAAAGCAAAACTAAGTTTAATGCCTTATACAAGTAGTGTGCAAGTGCGAGCTTAAAAAAGTTGCGGGGACTGACATCTTTTCAATTAGTTTTTTTTTCATCTTCAAAAAGTACTGTGAAAAATATTTTGTGTGATTTCCACTGAGACACGACCGGAGCAGTTACGGATGACTCGTCTACCGCATAGTTGGAACCTCGATGGACTATGAAAAGATATTAGTTATATTTTATATTCTTCTTTTTTCTCCCTCGGCGTTCCGAGTCTTTGAATTTCCCTTCTGCATACATCACCAACCTCGGTTTAACTCTGTTACTGGCTTTCTCTTTCCAGTTAGTGACTTTGTGTTTGTGGGTATGCCTTATGGGTTTGCGATTATTATTGATGCGACATTTAACATCAAAAACTTCTTTTTATAGCTCATTTCCTACTATTGTTGTGCTAGTCATTTTCACAGAGCGGTGGGAGGGGGGGGGGGGCTAAAGCCCACCCACGTTCCCTCCACCCCTACCTCTCTCACCACACACATACAGACAAACTAATGGAAGCTTAACGCCCCCTCCCCCGAGAAAATGTGCAAGAAGGCAAAGTTCCTGTCCCAACCACACCACGTACAACAGTTCTCTTCTTAAGCATCTGTTTTCCTTCGCAGTCAGAGTGCATCTGCTTTAGATGCGAGAAACCAACGGTCTGCATTCAGGTAAGTCAGACTGTAAAATGTATGTGCACGTAAAAACTCAGGTCCAGAAGTGCAAGTACTACCAGAACTTTCTGCCGGAGTTTACAACCTGCCAACGCTGAGAAGAGAAGCATTTCTTGAATACAGTTTATATTGTGTCGTATATTATTTTAGGAAGCCGTCGTGGTGTAGCGGCTAGATGCTCGCCTACAGATCTGATGTCGTGGGTTATAGTTTTGACGAAGCCGGATTTTCTTCTTCTTCAAAAGTGACCTTATCTCATAGGTCGACCCAGCCTTAAATGGGTACCAGGTAAAGTCCTGGGAAGTAAACGTGGCCGGCGTGATGATGATCACATGACCCACCGAGTGCCGACTGGTTGATAAAATATAGGTTAGCTGCGTATCCTTTACAGGACGTTGCAGACCCAACCCCAGCAGCCCCTGGCTGATGTGAGGTTTCTCCTAGGCAAATTTACCTCCATTAGTTTGCCATTGCTTCCTCGACGGTCGGCCCCCTGATACCACTGTCGAAACCATCGCAAGGCGCATGGCCCGCAGCTGGGATCGATCCCGGCACCCCGGCATTATGAAGCGTACGCATCGACTTAGCCACAGAGCCGATTTATAAAAAATAGACAGAGCCCTATAAGCCTAATACGCCTGAAACCGTAGAAAAGAGTCTGTTATACATTATTATACGTGTTGCCATTCAGCAACAACAGTAACCAACGTTACTTGAGAACATTTATATTGACGGTGTTTTCCTTATCCTATTGTGCCATTTATGTGTCCCATAGGGCTCGCAGTCTATTCCTTCCTCCGTTCCGTTCTAGCCTGTGTAGTCAATTCAGTATCATTGACTGAATAGCCGTCAAAATGCCTTTTTTTTCTCATGTGAGTGCTTGTTGCTGTTCGTTTATGCTCCTAATGTGTCCAATACAGCGGAATGGTCTATGTCTTATGACTGTTGAAACTCTTATTCCTTCACACCCTTTGGATTCCATACATTTTAATTTATGTGCTTTAGTTTCCTTAAGCATTTATTTTTTAAAACATTTATTCATGTATTTGGTGGTTCTCAAACTGTTAATGGCATACGTTAACATTTAAATAGTATTAGAATTAAAAATACGAAACTTGGGCAAGGTTAAAAAAAAATAATAATTTACTGTGCAAATGACGAAAAGAAGTTGGTAAAAATCACTGAACTGGAAAACAAAAGAACTAAGAAAAGGCAAACTCAAAAAGAAACCATAAGACAAGCGTGTTGTTAAACAGAGGCCAAAGGTGTTGGACTGTAATCCAACGATGATATTGAAAGAATTGCAGAGTAGGCTATAGAGGGAAATGGATGAGCATACTATGAGTCTTGTGTGTTTTAACTTGAGAAAATGAATTTGATGATAATGATGATATTAATGATAATAATGATGATTCTGATACCTGCCATACGGTACCAGTTGTCTCCCTTCGTAGGCCAAACAATGCCGAAACCGGAAGCGGAAGTAGAGACAAGGCACCCATGGCCCAACCGACATAGATGGCCCACCTGGGGAACTTGTACGACTTAATGCTGACAGGTTCCAGGGTCCCGATACTGAAGCACCACGTGAACTGAGGACAGCAATAGAATAACTTTCCATGATAGCCAGCTAGGAAACAAAGAAAAGAAAAAGAAAAGCTGCATATGATTAATAATTATTTTCTCTTGTTCTGCTTCTTCATCTATTCCTCTTTTACCGATCCTGGTATCGAGGAAGATAACAGGTTCTGTTTCTTGCTCTTCGGTCCCCTAGACCGTAGACACATGGTACTCTTACAGAGTTCCTCTGATGTCATCTTTAAATTTTGCTCTTGGTCTACCATAGGTTCTACATCCTTCTCCACAACAAAGACAACATACCAACTACATCGACAAAGTCTGGCCAAGATCGCGATAACAACCTAAGACCCAGTAGCGAAACAACAGCGATAACAGCTATTAAAACAACACGACAAACTGGTACAGCAATTTCACCACGAACAGCTCAGCAGACAGTCAAATCAATGGCACTAACAGCTTCATACATGGAACAATAACGAGCACATGATCCAAGCCTGCACAATGAGACGGACACGACCTGGCCGGCCATATAGACACAGGAGACGTGAAATAAAGTACCAAACACTACGCAATGAAATAGCAACACAATTTGTTGCCATAATTATAACCGCTATTGACTTGGTATTACCTCCCTAGTCAGAGGTTGAACGTTGTTAATTTAGTTACAACGAAAGCAAACTGTTACTGTCAGTTCTCGTATTCTTAGCAGTGATGTAGACAGGCATCTGCCTAAATACTCGGATCGTCCTATCTCACTAGGGGCATTAACCATGTCAGCGGGATCCATAGACTGGCCAACTGCAGCTGAGGAAGAACCGGACAATCTATTAGTTGTTTCATTGCCAACAACGCCTGCATTTCATGGGACAAAGATGGAGGTTACGGTACGAAATTTTAAATAATTGACTGATTGACTAATTGACTTTTTTTTCTTCTTTTTCTTCTTCTTCTTCTTCTTCTTCTTCTTCTTCTTCTTCTTCTTCTTCTTCTTCTTCTTCTTCTTCTTCTTCTTCTTCTTCTTCTTCTTCTTCTTCTTCTTCTTCTGCGTTCAGGAAAAAGATGTAGATGCATTATGCCCTTTAACAACATGGCTGCCATATTTTCGCCTTTTGGCCGACACATCTGACTTCTGCAGGCATTTAATACGCAGTTTAACTTTGATGGTGATTGATTTAAATGTGAGTAATCTAGCCAGTGTGACGCAGACGTACCAGCACAAGAGTAGGGGTGACATATTTCCACATGATCTGCCAGCCGATGCAGGGCTGCTTGCCGAGCATCAGCTCGATGTCTTTGACAAACCTTTGGACCCCGTAGATCCAGGAGATGACAACACATTCCACCACCGAGATCAGCATCAGCGAGAAGGTGGCGCTGTACCAGTCGATGATCTGCAGCAGGTAGATTCCTCCCTGAAAGTGAGTTGGAGAAAGGATGCGTGAGTTAGTGAATGAGTGAGTAAATGAGTGCGTAAATGAAAGAGTGTATGAAAGAGTGAGTGCATAAGTGAGTGAATTAGTAAGTAAACGAGTGAATAGGTCAGTTAGTTCGTGAGTAAATGAGAGTGAATGGCTGACTGAGTGAGTAAGAAAATGTTTGCCTATGTGACTGAATGCATGAACGAGCACCTGAGGGGAGGGGGGGGGGGGAGAGTGAGTGAGTGAGTAAGTGTGTGAGAGAGTGTGTGAATAAGTGTGTGAGCTTGTGAGTGAGAAAGTGTGTTAGTAAGCTGTGAGTGAGTGTGTGAGTGAGTAAGTGAGTGAGTAAGTGGGTCACTGAATAAGTGAGTGAGTAAGTGGGTCACTGAATAAGTGAGTGAGTAAGTGGGTCACTGAATAAGTGTGTGAGTAAGTGGGTCAGTGAATAAGTGAGTGAGTGAGTAAGTGGGTCACTGAGTTAGTGAGTGATTGAAGGAGGGCGAGATTTAGTGGGTGGGTACGTGTCCTATTGAGTGAATGAGTTAGTGGGTTAGGAAATTAGTTAATGCTTGAGTGGATGAGTCTGCCACCGAAAAAAATACTTGGTAATAATAAAAAATAAAAAACAAATTTCGTCTTTTGTGTTGAACTTCAACCAGGTCCGAGTGGCAAAATGAGTCAGAAACAAATACACAAGAAGTTTAAGTTCCTGAAGTTTCATTGGAAAGGGACTTGTGTCTGCATTAAGTAAACGGACGTGTTACCTGGAAAATTAAAGGAACGCCGAGCAAAAACTCCACGAGACACATCAAAGCGGTGAAAGCCACTTTGCGTTTTCGAAGCAGGCCTGGATACTCGTCGATGAAAGCGCTGGTGATCGTCTCAAACATCCCAAACTGTGGATGGAAGTTATATCAGCACGAAATGTCGTGCCCAAACGACCTGTCGTTGAAAGCTCGCCCAAACAACCTGTCGTTGAAAGCTCGCCCAAACGACCTTTCGTAGAAAGCTCGCCCAAACGACCTGTCGTTGAAAGCTCGCCCAAACGACCTGTCGTTGAAAGCTCGCCCAAACGACCTGTCGTTGAAAGCTCGCCCAAACGACATGTCGTTGAAAGCTCGCCCAAACGACCTGTCGTAGAAAGCTCTCCCAAACGAACTGTCGTAGAGAGCTTGCCCAAACGAACTGTCATTGAAAGCTCGCCCAAACGACCTGTCGTTGAAAGCTTGCCCAAAACATTATATATGCAAGTCAAGAGAACAAACAACTGTACAAATATTGTAATTCTAAAGGGAATACGTTGAACATTGGACAGAGCATACCAACTTGAAATCCCACATTGTGCCAACGGCTTCAGGAACAGGAGCGTTTTGGGTGGTTTGTAGCCTTATCCTATGAAGCGGAGACTAGTGTTTGCTGGCACCTTTCCGTCTTATCAGACGACAGTGTTATATTATGCTCTAGATGTGGTCTCTAGTCTGTGGACGCGCCCTTCTAGGCTAGGGGGGGGGGGGGGATGTGGCATAAAGAGGTTTAAACCAAAAAAAAAAAAAAAAAAAAAAAGGGGGGGGGGGGGAACCTAGCAATTTTGAAACCGAGTTCACATGTAATATTCAGGATTTTCAGCTTCAATAGTCAGGAAAACAAAACTGGGCTGCCAGCTTGATATAGAGAGTGATCTCTTTTGTGGCTTGTCCAATACGAGACTAACAATAGCAGATATCACCAAGACAAAAATGTATCAAAAATCACATCAATGTTTAGCACTACAATACTGGCTGCTTATGATTTTTTTGGAAGGGGGGGGGGGGCTGTGGGGGGGGGGGTGGTGTTAAAATTTTGCATTATTGGCATGTTTTTCTCCAAATTCTTATTAACATGACTCAAACCCAAGACCTTCCGATTCACAGGCCAGCTTCTAGCCGCTGTCCGCCCGAGGTCATGGTGAAAACAAAATATGATTGGATGGAGACAGTTATTTCAGTAGAATGTTTCTTTTTCTCCGACGGGAAAACATTGGTGGTTTGTCCACTTCTAGATCTTGGTCTTCTTGCAGAACTTGAGTTTCACGTGCACACCGGTTTTACTAAATGATTTAGTAGTGTGTAGACTGTTGGTTCCTCCTCTCTGATGATGATGGATTTATACTTTGAAGGAAGCACCTGCAATTAGTCGACTTTTGCCAATTGCTTGTTAGAAAATGGGGGGGGGGAGGGGGTGGGCGCAGTGGGTCAATGTTTCTCCTCCCATAATGGGACCCCGGAACCCACACGGGGAGTTTAATTTTTTCAAAGTTAAAGAATCGACTGCACTGCGCTAAGTTTTTATCTCACATGGCTCAGTCTCTCGGCTGTGGGAGCTTATCATCCAAGTCACGAACTAACACCAACGACACTATGGAAAACTTAACTGAAGGAAATAACCTGAAAGGAAAACAACAACCTTTGGAGCGAGAGGCCAACGGTACCTACCTGGCTGTCTACGCCAACTGTGAATATCATCAGGAAGAACAGAACTGCCCAGACGTGCGAGAAAGGCATCAAGGAAACTGCTTCTGGATAGGCAACAAACGTGAGTCCTGGACCTTGAGCAACAACTGTCTCTATGGGTGTGCCGGACGAGTAGGACATGAAGCCTAGTGTGGAGAAGATGACGAAGCCGGCAAAGATACTCGTGCCGCAGTTGACTAGCGGGACTACCATAGCATCCCTGTGTGGGACACAGAAGAAGCCTGTTTACGTTTGTCATTCAATATAATACCACATGTGACTAGAAAGCTCAACGTTGATGAAGACATTGGTTAAAACGTTCGGTTATGTTCGTGTAAGTCTTTTCCATGCCCTCCTATGAGCTTTCTAGTCACATTTAGTGTTATATTTAACATTTCTTGCAATCATCTCGACTGCAGTCAACAACTATTTATGTTTGTAGTTATATGTAAGCATACAGACGAGCTTGTAGACGCAGAGAAGAAATTACACGTTAGCATACAGACCAACTTGTAGATGCAGAGAAGAAATTACATGTCAGCATACAGACAAACTTGAAGATGCAGGAAAGAAATTACATGTAAGCATGCAGACAAACTTGTAGATGCAGGGAAGAAATTACATGTAAGCATACAGACAAACTTGATGCAGAGAAGAAATTACATGTTAGCATACAGACCAACTTGTAGATGCAGAGAAGAAATTACATGTCAGCATACAGACAAACCTGAAGATGCAGGAAAGAAATTACATGTAAGCATACAGACAAACTTGATGCAGAGAAGAAATTACACGTTAGCATACAGACAAACTTGAAGATGCAGAGAAGAAATTACATGTCAGCATACAGACAAATTTGAAGATGCAGAGAAGAAATTACATGTCAGCATACAGACAAACTTGAAGATGCAGAGAAGAAATTACATGTTAGCATACAGACAAACTTGAAGATGCAGGAAAGAAATTACATGTTAGCATACAGACAAACTTGAAGATGCAGGAAAGAAATTACATGCCAGCATACAGACAAACTTGAAGATGCAGAGAAGAAATTACATGTCAGCATACAGACAAACTTGAAGATGCAGGAAAGAAATTACATGTAAGCATACAGACAAACTTGAAGATGCAGAGAAGAAATTACATGTCAGCATACAGACAAACTTGAAGATGCAGAGAAGAAATTACATGTTAGCATACAGACAAACTTGAAGATGCAGGAAAGAAATTACATGTTAGCATACAGACAAACTTGAAGATGCAGAGAAGAAATTACATGTTAGCATACAGACAAACTTGAAGATGCAGGAAAGAAATTACATGTTAGCATACAGACAAACTTGAAGATGCAGAGAAGAAATTACATGCCAGCATACAGACAAACTTGAAGATGCAGAGAAGAAATTACACGTAAACTTACAGACCAGCTTGTAGACGCAAGAAAGAAATTAACATGTAAGCACACAGACCAACTTGCAGATACAGAGAAGAAATTATATGTAAGCACAGAGACCAAATTTGATACAGTGAATTACTTACCAATTACCATAAAAAGAGAATCAAACCAAACTAGAATTAGTCAGCTTAACCTAAACACGACCAGGCCATTAGGTTAACCATATATGTCGATTCCTCCTCACCAAATATGTGGTTGACACATTCCGTTTCTGGGGACAGCTTTTATCGAGTTTGCTCTCTAGACAGTTGCAGTCCCCTGCAGACGAGATTATTTCTTCCCGAGTGGACCGCCGCGATCAAAACACTGCGAAGGCAGCACGGTCGAGGCTGCCAAAACTATCAGTCATTATCCCGCCCCGACACAGCACAACCACAATGCACGCTGCTCCCACGAAAACACATTGTATCCTGCGTTGGAAATGCACACAAAGTAGCAGTTCATGATTATGAAACAGAATAATCCGAGAGAATTGACAGCCAGTGAAAATAAACAAAGCTGCTATCTGTCATTTTGAAAACGGAAGTCAACAACCTTATCACAATTACTAACGACAAATGAATGTTGCGACAAGAAGACCTTACTCAGCACATGACACACAGCTTACACGCAAGAGAGAACAATTTTCCCGCAGAGACAGCAGCTCACCTGTAGACATTGTGGTCAAACTTGTTATAGCTTGCCATGGTAATGAGCGACCCCCAAGCCATCCCAACGGAGTAGAAGATTTGAACTGCGGCGTCTCCCCACACCCTCACATCTTGCAGTTTCTCCCATTTGGGGATGACGTAGAATTTGATGCCCTCATTTGCGCCAGGCAGGGTCACGCCTCGGATTAGAAGAATGACCAGGACGAAGTAAGGGAAGGTGGCTGTGACGTAAACAACCTGGGGATGGAGAAGACGTGTTCGAATGTCACCCACTGCATTACCGCATATAATATCACAACATTTTGTTTGAGAATGGAGGTAGAGGCAGTCACTGCAACCTACTGTTGGCTTGATAATCAGCAGGCGCGCAGACACAGTTTTGCTGAGAAAGCATGCTGAGAAAGGTGGAGACTGGTATGTTTCGTGCAGAGTGGCATGCATCGCTTATCAAATCCAGGGTACTTAGCATCCTTCGGAAATTTTTTCCAGGTTTGCATGTATGTTCGGAAACGAACAGGCGGACAAACTTACTGGCTCTGTGCCACTTGGTGGTAAATGTGTGCATGACACGCTGGATGTTGCCAAGGCTCTCTCGGAGGGAGTGATCAGTGTGGAGGCACGATAAGATTATCATGGTCTGAAAAGAATGGTGCAACGTGGAGTGACCAGGGGATCTGGCCGACACACCACACAATGAGAAAAAGCAGGATGCACTTACAGCCAGACTGTTACTTACACCACCGGAGATGGAACTCTTCCGTAGATGTCGAAGATGGGGACGGAGCACTGATGGCAATGTCCCGAGTGCTATGATGTCGTTCTTAAAACTGAACTCAACCCATTGCATTATCATGAAAACATGCACATTCAATACGATCATGCTGGGACAGTCTGAGTAATAGAGATTAGATTATGTATGAGATTAGAAGGAATAGGAGGACTTGGGAAGAGCTGAGACATGATGTGAATGACAGGATAATCTGGAGAAAGGAAAATGCTTCACTGAAGGACAGGCAGGAGAAACATAGGCAGAAGAAGAAGAAGAAGAAGAAGAAGAATCAAGATTACTAAATTGATGATGGCATTGGTGATGACGATAAGGATGATGATGGTGATGGCGATGATGGTTACGATAATGATGACGATGATAGCAATCACGATGATGATGACGATGACGATGATGATGATTATGATGACGATGACGAGCATGATGGTAAAAATGAAGATGATGACGATGATGATGGTGACGATGATAAGGATGATGACGATAATGATGGTGACGATGATGACGATCATGATGGTGACGATGATGACGATCATGATGGTGACGATGATGATGGCGATGATGATGTTGATAATGATGGCGACAATGATGATGGTGACGATGATGATGGTGACGATGACTATGGTGACCACGATGATGACGATGATGATGATGACGATGACGATGATCACGATGATGATGGTGACGATGACTATGGTGACCGCGATGCTGACGATGATGATGACGGCGATGACTATGGTGACCGCGATGATGACGATGATGGTGACGATGACAATGAAGACAATGATGATGGTGACAACGCTGATGACGATGACGATGATGATGGTGACAATTGATGACCACGACGATGATCATCATAATATTGACGAGGTCAATGATAATGGCGACGATGATGATGAGCACCTACTCTGCCTGAAGATTTGATCCCCTTGAACAAACACATGAACACAATGACCCAGGCGAGGAGGAGGCAGCCGAACAGGGGCCATCGGACGGTGCCAAAGTTCTCGATCCCATCGGTCATTTCCAAGACATTTCGCCTGTGTGAAGAACATTGTACATGTAAATACTAGAGAACAAGATGCTCACTCATGTCGTAATTGTAACAGACTCTGAAAGCTTGCTGAAAAAGGTGACGACAGGGATGCTTCGAGCAGAGTGGCAAGCTTCACTGGGAAGGTCACGGATAGTGAGCATACTCTGGATCGTTTCTCCAGGCTTTGCCGGCGTGGGGGTTAACGAACAGGCAGACAGATTGGCTGGATCTGCACCACTGAGGGGGTGAATTTAAACAAGACAAGGCAGATGTGGTCAAGGGCCTTTGGGAACAAGCAACGGAATCAGTAGAGAAAGAAGATTATTATGGCCTAGACAGAATGGGGCACCTGGGTGTATCATAAAGCCTGCCACCTTTACTTCCCAGGACCTTACCTGGTACTCATACGGGTGGGTCGACCTGGGAAACAAGGTCGAAACAAGCCTGGCTCCGTCTTGACCTGAACACAACGCCTTCGAACGTGCAGGCGAGCATAAATACGATACACCAAGGCACACTCAGATAAGTGGAAATTATTTCACAAAATTTCTCGTGTGGGTTCCGCTTTGATACTATTCTGGAGAAAAGTTAAAGAAAAAACTCACTTTAGAAAGAGACACCGTAGACATAGATTTACTAGGGGTGTCTCCTTTGAAGTCGGAGTACATCTGCCTGACAGGCGAGGAACCAACAATCTGCATACAAAAAAGCTAAGTTTCCGAACAACACCGAAGTCGAGAAGTGGACGAACAGCCAGAACTGTCCGCCTGAGTTCGCAAGGGTTAAAGCTAAGTAAAAGGACAAGAGGTTTCACACAATAAAACTGTTGTGTAGTGCTACACGCGCGTCTACTGATTCCACTGTCTCCTATTCGAACCCACACCATAACATTCTTCTTTTTCTTCTTGTTATCATTTCTATGAAGGGTATAAGCGTCGAACCGTCCATGGATCAAGGTAAAATTTTCTTTCACGAGTTCTTCATTAACTTTTTTTTTTTTTTTTGCTGTCCAGGATATTTTCATCATTCGTCTTTATAACTTAACTCCGCCGCTTGCACGTCAGCTTTCGCTAATCGTTCAACTGTCCATGATTCACTTCCGTATCCACACCGATCCAGTTTTAAGTTAAGAAAACAAATTAATAAAAATTAACACGTTCAACCAGCATCCCCAAGGGGGGAGATTTCGGTTATAATTGTGACTAGGTTTTTTGCGCTACATAAAATGGCTTAACTTTGCTCACCACCAGGTAGCCCTGAAAAGGAATTTTGCAGTGTAGATGCCATCAAAGGAGACAGACTTTAATACTGTCCCGACCGACGACGAAGCCGTCTACCGGCCAGCCAATGGGTGACTAGGTCGTCGATGTTCACCTCTGTGTATCGGGACGGTATTTATGTAGTTTTGAGAATCCTCTTTCTCACCTCAACTGACATAGAAACGATCTGAAGAGAACATTCCTCATTTTGTAAAATGCTGTTTGAGTTATTCGACATTTAATTTCTTTTACACATCTTCTATCTGCTACTACTAGGGTACCCGAGTACTTAAACATGTAAGTTTGCTTGAGGATTGTCCTAACAACTTTGATGTTGCGTCACGGAGGGTCTATTTTCATTGTAATTGCCATTATGTCTTATTTTCTACTGTTCATACTAACGCAAATGGTGGCAGCTATAGCATGTAAGTTGCCCGATAAAGTTTGAGGTTTGAACAACGGATTAACATCATGGCATATGGGTAGTAAACCATAAGTGTTCCTTTCTACTTCTAACTCACGTCTGAGTCCGAGGTATCTCAGCGCAGTGCACGGGCTACGTAGCACCGGCGAGGATCCTGAAATGTTTTAGGTAGATTTTCAACTCCAAATTGTGCCCGTGCAGCACCGTTAAGCTACTCTGTTCGATTTCCAACTGCCACGGGATTTTGTTATATACGCAACAATGCACACGGGCGTCCGAACTCACTACCCAGGACCAGGCGAAATTAATAGAAGTCCATGTGAACAGAAAAAAATCCCAGCCTTTACCGGGGCCTGAAACCAGGACCTCTAGAACTCGAGGCGGACACCATACCTCGAGACCACGTAGCCTCTGTAAGTTGCCTGATAAAAACTTTAACCAGACAACCAATTCTGGGGCTGGTGCCGCCACGTCATGTAAAAGATACTCGATAAAACAGCTTTGGTAAACTTCTACTACTTCTTCTTCACTGGCTGTAAACACTTTGAAAGATTCTACTTTAGTGTTGCGTACACATTCATTTTACAGATCTGGCTTACTTGTGGGCAGACTGTTAGTTCCTCACCTTTCAGGAATATGTACTTCTCCACTTCATAAGAAACTTCGATTGATCACGTTGGCCAGGTTTCCGCTGGGTACCTATTTTTAGGATGAGTATCAAGAAGTGTAGAAAGATCGTGACCAATTTATGCCAGAAACTAGTGCACCCAAGAGTGTGATTCGATCTCCTTGTATCCAGTTTAGCACACAGGAAAAACAACTTACTCCCAGAATTCTGCACTGGCTAGTGAACTCTGATTTCCGGTTCTAAACTGGGACAAATTCCTGTGCTCGGCACAGTCTGCGGTGTTCCAAGACTGGTCACACAAGGTCCATGGCAGAACTGTATTGATGGTGCTGAATAAGAAGTAGAAATTCCAAGCGATAATGACGTTGTAGTAGATGCACACGATACCGGAAATGATGACCATTCCGTAACCAATTCCTGGAGGATAGAAAGTTTACTCACATGTAGGAATATTTTGTCATAAATTTTTCTCTAAAATTCCAACCACTGCAATTCTTTTTCTTCTCCCCATTCTTCTCATCATTCTCCTTCTTCTACTTCTTCTTCGACTTCTTTTCTTTACTCTCAGTCTTCTCCTTCTCTCCCTTCTCTTCTTTCTCCTTGTTCATCTTCTTCCTTCCTTCCTTATTTATCTTTTTTGACTTCTTCTGTTTCTGTTTCTTTTTCTTCTTGTTGTTGTTAATGTTGTTGTTGTTCTTGTTGCTATGCAGGTGTTCAAGGCAATGGGCGTGCATATGGTTTGGCAGACAAGTCGGTTACCACGACTAGCCCGGCACTGGACATGGATAACTTCATTAATGCCATGCGGAATACTTATCGTGAAAAAAAATCACGACAGCCTGCAGGACTCAATATCCTTGTCCAGACTAGTGGTCATCTGGGTGCAGCCTGGGCACCCAGGCATGAACATTTCACCAAAAGCACAATAAGTGGCACCTTTCCATCTTCCAGACGATAGTGTTGTATTGCGCTATTAGGAGACATCGGACTCACAATCCCTGGCGGTGGCGACTGGCAAGACTCACCCGCGTTATCGTCATCGACAATTATAGCATGGAATTTCAGCACCGTTGTTATGAACATCCTTGTTTGCCAAAGACACAAAGTGTCTGGTTAATCAACACAGAACGAGTGTGGTCACTTTTCTTTAAAACTCTTGTAGAGCTTCTGAAGAGGAGATTGGAGCACCTATGGAGCTGCCCGTAGTACTGTGATGATAGTCCTAACTAAACAGTAAGTTTGCGCACACCCAGAATTATCGTGTGCCTATCTTCGAGATGGTCGGCAAATCTTCCTTGATATTCACATCTTTAAGGATGTCAGTACTTTTTTTTTCTTGGTTTATGATATTCTGAGAATCTTGTTATAGTATTTCTCTTCAAAAACCCCTATTGTTTTAACTAATGACTACGACATAGTTCAAAGGTTAGGTAGACATGCAAACAGTTGTAGCTGGAGTACCTCTAAACAACGGACAGACCCTCCACACTGCAATGGGACTCAGACTGGCGAACTGGCCATAGGAAACTTCGAGAAAAAACAGCGGCAAGCCACACGTGATGAGGAAAAATGTGTAAGGGATGAGAAAGGCGCCTGCGAACAGAAACAAAACAAGGTAACGATTATACATGCAAACCATCATCACCTACATCACCGTCATCATCATCATGTTGTACCACTATATGTCCTACAGAATTTGCGATCTATTACTCCATTTTTACTGCATGAAACAGTTATTTCGATATCATGTATGTAATTTTGTTTAATTCTGTGTTTTAATCCCCCCCCCCCCCCCCAAAAGTATCCAAATGTTTTAATATACTGGAGAGCTTGAAGACAGGTTATCACAAACATGAGAAAGAGACAGTCATTATATTTTGTTAATATTAGTAGAAGAAGCAAACTCCAACATGTTGAGTCTACTGAAAATATCTGTGAAAAACGAGAGAGGGACAGACAATGTGAGATGAACCTTGGCATCATTTGGTCATGACATGGAGAGAGGTCAGCACGCGAATGATACATGCTGTTAAAGACCGCAGGTTATGGAAAGACATGATCGCCTTCAACAGCCAGCAAGCACCAGACGATGATGATTTTGATGACGATGATGAAGATGAGTATTTTAGTTTGCGTGCTGTGATCCAACCTCATCATGTTTGGGCTGTTGTGGTTTTTCTAGGCAAATGTATGTCCAGCAGTTTGCCATTGCTTTCTGGACGATCGGCTTCTTAACACTGTCGAAAGTATTCCAAGGCGCAAGGATTGCAGCTGGGATCGAACCCAGCACCCCTGCAATACGAAGCGCGTTCACAACGCCTAGGCCACAGATGGCGACAAGTATCACATACTTAATTTTTTTTTAAAATTATTATTTCCTTTTGTTTGTTTACATGATATTTGAATTCCGTGATGTAGTCGATCAGTTAATTGTGCGTGTATATATGTATATTATGTTGTACTTTGTTGCTTGTCGTTGCTCTGCTAATCAGGACTAGAAGCCACAACGTCCTCTGTTTGTCTATTGTAAGTGGTTCCGTAAAGCTCAGATATACTTTATGTTTATCATCCCATTTGCTTTACATATATTTTCCCTATATTCTTGCAATTTATTGTTAGATCCAAGCTATGTTAATTAAAGTACACAAATATATAAATAAAAACTGAGCTAAGTATTAAACACAAACTAACACACACATGATCTCACCTCAACTGACAAGACATACTCTAATAATGATAGTGATGATATGGTCAAACCACTGACCTCCTCCGCTTTTGTAGCAGAGATAAGGGAACCTCCAAATGTTCCCCAGACCAACGGCGAAGCCAATGCAGGACAACAAGAAGTCCAGCCGACCTGACCAGTTCTCGCGGATCTCGATACTGACCGTTGACACAACGGATACGGGAATACTGAATTTCGGAAGTATCTGCTTCAAACATATAGAAACAATTAATGAGTATATAACAATAGAAACAACTAATGAGTCCATAACAATAGAAACAACAAATGAGTCTATAACAATAGAAACAACTAATGAGTCCATAACAATGGAAACAACTAATGAGTCTATAACAATAGAAACAACTAATGAGTCTATAACAATAGAAACAACTAATGAGTCCATAACAATAGAAACAACTAATGAGTCTATAACAATAGAAACAACTAATGAGTCCATAACAATAGAAACAACTAATGAGTCTATAACAATAGAAACAACTAATGAGTCCATAACAATGGAAACAACTAATGAGTCCATAACAATGGAAACAACTAATGAGTCTATAACAATAGAAACAACTAATGAGTCCATAACAATAGAAACAACTAATGAGTCTATAACAATAGAAACAACTAATGAGTCCATAACAATGGAAACAACTAATGAGTCCATAACAATGGAAACAACTAATGAGTCCATAACAATGGAAACAACTAATGAGTCCATAACAATGGAAACAACTAATGAGTCCATAACAATAGAAACAACTAATGAGTCCTTAACAATGGAAACAACTAATGAGTCCATAACAATGGAAACAACTAATGAGTCCATAACAATGGAAACAACTAATGAGTCTATAACAATGGAAACAACCACAAAAGAATTACCAAAAGAAAAGGCAACAGCAGAAACATGAACAGAAACAATAACAAAAGTTATAATAAAAGAAGCAACAACAACAGAACGATACATAAACGTTAACAGCAGAAAGCAAAACAACCAATGACAATTGAAAATAAAATAAAAACAGAAACATTATCTTTAATGAGAGAAACAACAGAAACAATGCCAACTGAAACAAAAACAGAAAAAACACACACACACAATAGAAAGAACAATAGAAGAAATAACAAAATAGGAAGAACCACACACACACAAAATTAATTAATACAACTGTAACAAAAACAGCTAAAAAAATTACGGCAGAACAGCCCATATAAACAACAAAAGAAGCAGGTATAGAAAAAAAAAATAACAATGTAAACAACAAGAGAAACATTAATAACTGAACAGACAACAAAAACATTACCGGTAATGACAGAATGAACCACAGAAACAACAATCGAGACAACAGGAAAAAATGCAAATATAAACAACGTTATAACAACAATAAAGCAAAGAAACAAAAATAATTACAGTAAAAAAAATAAACACAATCCCACTAAACAAGAATAGAAACAACAGTAGCCAGGTTAAAAATATATACACAACAACATAAACACCAATAAAAACAATAGTAACAGCAACATAAACTACGAAATAAAAAAAGCAACAACAGAAACTGCATTAACCACGCGAGAAACAATAAGTTAAGTTATATAAACAAAACGAAAAAGAACTAAACTATTTTAGCAAAACAGAACTAAGGGAAAATAAATTATATTTAAACAAACGAAAAGGGAAGAAATACAAATTAGAGGGAAATCATCTACAAAAAGCAACGTTAAATAGTGTCAGGTTCAAATGAAAGATCGAGTTTAAGAGGTTACAGCCTTATGCTGTTTAAGACTGAGATCGTAATGGGATGTGCAGTTGACTTACGTGTGGATCCACTGACGATTCTATTCTGAATGATTGAAAGCTTGTGTTGCAACTCGCCTCCTTTGACTAAGTTGCCAAAATGAAAAATGCCCACATGAAAACAAAAATAGAAAACAAGAACTATTACCATTATTTGAAAATTTTCTTTTTATCTTCTTTTTCTTCATCCTAGTTGATATCGGTTTGAAATGCTTAAGTTATCAATTGTTGTCTCCACGCTAGCGGCAAGTGTCCAACCGTTCCGCAAAGTGTGTTCTTGATGCCTCTTCGCTCTGGTCGTGTGTTTTATCGTTTATAGGCTTACGAGGTAATGAACGCAAACGGACACTTAAACAGGTGGGCGAGGTTGCTGAGAGGGCCTCAAGCTGGCTCTGGACACAACGAAACAACGTGGGGGACGGGCCTCGGTAAGCTGGTCCGGGTGTCTAGTGGAAAAGAATGTCTTATCCCTTAAAGTCAATCGTGTCCGAATTTTCTGCCAGTTTCCCTCTGCCACCTACCAACAAAGTCCAACATGTGTCTGGTAAACCAATCGTAAGCTTGCCACTCGGTCGTTCAGGTATGCAGACTGCTTGAGTTATGCTACCGCAACGACTTCTTATCTCACAGTACATTTTGAAAAATTAGCAATTCGTCTTGTCCCTGTCCGAATAACATTAGGTAATACGTGCAGCAGGGGAAACCAACCCTGAGCTCCATGAACTTAGGTGGGCCCACTCTCTGAGAATGTCTAGGAGCTCGTGGGCCGAAACATTTGTCGACGAGAGGTTACTTCTACTGATGATTGGTAAACCCCTGCTGTACATGCTCCCCTGTGGAGTTTCTTCTTATTCTTATTGCAGCACTTGCTGTGAGAGGTTTTTCTGC